TGGGACAGGTGGGACAGGAGTACCAGGGACACAGGTGAGGGTGGCAGGGGCCTCCCAGGTGAGGACAGAGAGGTGACACAGGTGACGCTCCCCAGGTGAGGCTCCCCCGGGTGTCCCCTCACCTGTCCCTCACCTGTCCCTCCCCTGTCCCTCCCCTGTCCCTCACCTGTCCCTCACCTGTCCCTCCCCTGTCCCCGCAGGCAGCGCAGCCTGGCCGGGATGGGCCGGGCCCCAGGTGACCCCGGGGGTGGCCCAGGTGACCCCGGGGGTGACAGCGGCGCCGAGGACCCCGGCGCACCTGAGGCAGGTGAGGCCGAGGCGTCGGACGAGGACGAGGCCGAATATTACAGACAGGAGCTGGGGGAGGAGCCTGACACAGGTGAGTGGGGTTTCCAGGTGAGTTTGGGGGGGATGAAGGACAATTTTGGGGGGGGTAAAGGACAATTTTGGGGTTTCCAGGTGACTTTTGGGGGGGATCAAAGGGAATTTGGGGGGGGTTCAGGTGAGTTTGGGGTTTCCAGGTGAGTTTGGGGGGGGATGAAGGATAATTCTGGGGGGGATCAAGGACAATTTTGGGGAGGATCAAGGACAATTTTGGGGTGTTCCAGGTGATTTTGGGGGGCATGAAGGAGGGATCAAGGACAGTTTTGGGGGGATCAAGGACAATTTTGGGGTGTTCCAGGTGAGGCTCCCCCCCGGAAGTGGCTGATGACGCCAAAATTCCTGAATTTCCGTGATTTGGGATCGAAGTAAACGCTCTGACACTTCCGGGGCCTCCTGCCACCCCAAATCCCAAAATTTTATCCCTAAATTCCTTTTTTTTCTCCCCAAATCCCCTTTATCTCCCCAAATCCCAATTGTTTTCTCCCTAAATCCCAATTTTTCCCCCCAAATCCCAATTTTTTTTCCCCAAATCCCATTTTTATTCCCCTAAATCCCAATTTTTCCCCCCAAATCCCAATTTTTTTTCCCCAAATCCCATTTTTATTCCCCTAAATCCCAATTTTTCCCCCCAAATCCCAATTTTTTTTCCCCAAATCCCATTTTTATTCCCCTAAATCCCAATTTTTCCCCCCAAATCCCAATTTTTTTTCCCCAAATCCCATTTTTATTCCCCTAAATCCCAATTTTTCCCCCCAAATCCCAATTTTTTTTCCCCAAATCCCATTTTTATTCCCCTAAATCCCAATTTTTCCCCCCAAATCCCAATTTTTTTTCCCCAAATCCCATTTTTATTCCCCTAAATCCCAATTTCCCCCACCCTAAATCCCATTTTTCCCTTTTTTTCCCCCAGATTTGTTCCCTGGCAGCTCCAAGAGGAAGCGAAGCCCCTCGGCCGCGCCCCGAGCCCGGAAACGACGGAAGGGGACCCCAAAATCCCCAAAATCCACCCCTGGGACCCCAAAATCCACCCCTGGGACCCCAAAATCCACCCCTGGGACCCCAAAATCCACCCCTGGGACCCCAAAATCCACCCCTGGGACCCCAAAATCCACCCCTGGGACCCCAAAATCCACCCCTGGGACCCCAAAATCCACCCCTGGGACCCCAAAATCCACCCCTGGGACCCCAAAATCCACCCCTGGGACCCCAAAATCCACCCCTGGGACCCCAAAATCCCACACAGGAACCCCAAAATTCCATCCACGATCCCAAAAATCCCACAGAGGAAACCCAAATTCCCATTCAGGAACCCCAAAATCCCGCCCTGGAACTCCCAAATTTCGTCCTGGCACCCCAAAATCCCAAGGGGGAACCCCAAAATCCCATCCTGGATCCCAAAAATCCACACCTGGCACCCCAAATTCCCACCCAGGACATCCTAAAAACCCCAAATTCCGTCACAGGAAACCCGGAGCCCCCAAATCCCAACAGGAAACCCCAAAATCCCAACCCGGAACCTCCAGATCCCACCCAGGACACCCCAAAAACCCCAAATCCCACCGTGGGAACCCCCAAAAAATCCCGAATTTCCCTCGGCCGGGACGGGCCCAGAAAAGGAAAAATTGAGAGGGGAAAAAATTTGGGAATTTGGGACCCCCGAGGTTGGGAATTTGGGGTCTCTGGGACGGATTTTGGGGCCCAAGAGAATTTTGGGATTTTCCAGAAAAGATTTGGGCTCCCCAAGAGGAAATTTGGGATCTTCCAGGGGGGATTTTGGAATTTCCAGAAGAATTTTGGGGTCCCCAAAAATGCCCCCGAGTTTCCTTCCACCTTTTCCCTGCTGGGATTCCCCAAATCCAGGAGAGATCACCCCAAAAAAAATGGGGAAAAACAAAAAATAAGGGGGAAAACCTCAAAAATGTGGGGGAAAATTCCCAGAAAATGGGAAAAAAACCCCAAAAATGGTGAAAAAAACCCCAAAAAATGGGAAAAAAACCCAAAAAATGGTGAAAAAAACCCCAAAAATGGGGTAAAAAACCCAAAAAATGAGGTAAAACAACCCCCAAAATGGGGTAAAAAAACCCCAAAAATGGGGTAAAAACCCAGTGGGAATTTCAGGAACTTCCTGGCCGGAATTCCAGGTTGGAAATTTGGGAATTGTGGCCCCTCCCCCCCCCCCGGGCAGGTGCTGGAATAAAGTTGGATCCACCCAGGAACTCGTGTGGTGCTTTTTTTCCAGGAAAAATCCCATTTTTCTACCCCAAAATCCCGTTTTTCCCACCCCAAAATCTCCTTTTTTCTGTCCCAAATCTCACTTTTCCCACCCCAAATCTTTTTCCAGCACAAATCCAAATTTTCCCCTTCAAACTCCTCCTTTTCCCACCCCAAATCTCCTTTTTTCCCCCCCTCCCATAATTTATTTTTCCTACCCAAAATCTCGTTTTTCCCAGAAAAAAAATCCCATTTTTCAACCCAAATTCCCATTTTTGCAGCCAAAATCCTTTAATTTTCCACCAAAACCCCTTTTTCACTGCAAAAATTCCACTTTCCCACCCAAAATTTCTGGTTTTTTCAACAAAATCCCTTTTCCTACCCAAAGTTCCCATTTCCCCCTCAAAATTCCCATTTTCCCCCTCCAAAAATCCCACTTTTCCACCCCAAATTCCCATTCCCCCCCCCCAAAATTCCCATTTTCCCATCCAAAATTCCCATTTCCCCCTCAAAATTCCCATTTTCCCCCTCCAAAAATCCCACTTTTCCACCCCAAATTCCCATTTTCCCACCTAAATTCCCATTTTTCCCCCCCAAAATTCCCATTTTTCCCCCCAAAATTCCCATTTTCCCATCCAAAATTCCCATTTCCCGCCCCAAATTCCCATTTTCCCCCCCAAATTCCCAATTTTTCTCCCCAAAATTCCTATTTTCCCCCCCAAATTCCCACTTTCCCCCCTCAAAATTCCTGTTTTCCCATCCAAAATTCCCATTTTCCCATCAAAAATTCGTGTCCAGGTGGTTCCCCATTCCCAAATTCCCATTTTTTTCCCACCCCCAAATTCCCATTTCCCCCCCCAAATTCCCAATTTCCCACCCCCAAATTCCCGTTTCCCCCCCCAAATTCCCACTTTCCCCCCTCAAAATTCCTGTTTTCCCATCCAAAATTCCCATTTTTTCACCCAAAATTCCCGTTTTTTTCCCAGCTGGGAATTTTGGGCTGAGCCCAAATCCTGGGATGGGGGCGGTGCCAGAACCCAGAGCTTTATTGCCATGGGACCAACTGGGACAAACTGGGACCAAACTGGGACCAACTGGGACAAACTGGAACCAACTGGAACCAACTGGGACCAAACTGGGACCAAACTGGGATCCACTGGAACCAAACTGGGACCAAACTGGGACCAACTGGGACAAACTGGAACCAACTGGAACCAACTGGGACCAAACTGGGACCAAACTGGAACCAAACTGGGACCAACTGGAACCAAACTGGGATCCACTGGGACCAAACTGGAACCAAACTGGGCCCAACTGGGATCCACTGGAACCAAACTGGAACCAACTGGGACCAACTGGGACCAACTGGGACCAAACTGGGCCCAACTGGGCCCAACTGGGATCCACTGGGACAAACTGGGAGCGGCTCAGTTGGTGGAGGGCCTGGGGGGAGGAGAAAAGGAGTCAGGGCAGGTGAGAGGGACCCCAGGTGTGCCCGGGTGTGCCCGGGTGTGTGACCAGGTGGGTGTGACCCCCCCCAGGTGAGTGTGACCCCCCCCAGGTGAGTGTGACCCCCCAGGTGTGCCCAGGTGTGCCAGGTACGCACTTGGCCAACTCCACGTTGAGGATCAGGTGGGTGTGACCCCCCCCCAGGTGAGTGTGACCCCCCAGGTGTGCCCAGGTGTGCCCAGGTGTGCCAGGTGTGTGCCCAGGTGAGTGTGACCCCGCCCCAGGTGAGTGTGATCCCCCCAGGTGTGCCCAGGTACGCACTTGGCCCACTCCACGTTGAGGATCAGGTGGGTGTGACCCTCCCAGGTGACTGTAACCCCCCCCCAGGTGACTGTAACCCCCCAGGTGTGCCCAGGTGTGCCCAGGTGAGTGCCCAGGTACGCACTTGGCCCACTCCACGTTGAGGATCAGGTGGTCGTAGCCGAAGCCGGACACGCCCGCGATGGCCCGGGCCGCGTCCTCGCGCCGGTGGAAGCTGATGAAGGCGAAGCCCTGCAAGACACGCGGCTCCTCAGCACCCGGCACACCTGGCCCACCTGGCACAGCTGGCACAGCCGGCAGCGCCAGGTGAGCCCCGCCCGGGCGCCCAGGTGACCTTGGACTGCCCCGTGGTCTTGTCCTTGGCCAGGTAGATGCGGGAGATGGAGCCGAAGGGGCGGAAGAGCTCCTGCAGGTCGGTCTCGCGCGTGTCCTCCGACAGGTTGGTGACGCGGATGGTGGCGTTGTCATCGGCTGCGCGCCGCAGGTGAGGGCGGGGCCGGGCCTCAGGTGGGCCCGGAACCAGCCCAGGTAGGCCCAGGTGTGGCCCAGGTGTCCCCAGGTATCCCCAGGTGTGTCCCAGGTATCCCCAGGTGTGTCCCAGGTGTCCCCAGAGCCCTCCAGGTGTGTCCCAGGTGTCCCCAGAGCCCTCCAGGTGTGTCCCAGGTGTCCCCAGAGCCCCCCAGGTGTGTCCCAGGTGTGGCCCAGGTGTCCCCAGGTATCCCCAGGTGTGTCCCCGGTGTCCCAAGGTGTGTCACAGGTATCCCCAGAGCCCCCCAGGTGTGTCCCAGCTGTCCCCAGGTGTGTCCCAGGTGTCCCCAGAGCCCCCCAGGTGTGTTGCTACCCCCCCAGGTGTTTCTCTCCCCCAGGTGCGCTCACCTCTGCGGTTGGGCTGCATGGACTCCCCGCGCCGGCTGGCGCCGTCCCTCAGGTGTGGTTTTACCCCCCCAGGTGTGTTGTTACCCCCCCAGGTGTGTTTCTCTCTCCCCCAGGTGTGTTTCTCTCCCCCAGGTGTGTTTCTCGCCCCCCAGGTGTGTTGTTACCCCCCCAGGTGTGTTTCTCTC